AGCGAGAGAGACAGAAACATCAATGATGAGAGAGAATCATTGATAGGCTGCCTGCTGTATGCCCCCTACTGGGGATTGAGCCCACAACCTGGGCATGTGCCCTGACTGGGAATTGAATCAAGACCTCCTGGTTCATAGGTAAACCAACCACTTAGCCACACCAACCAGGCTGATATGTCTTTTTCAAATGTCTATGTCTCTCTCTCTCTCTCTCTCTCTCTCTCTCTCTCTCTCCCCCTCCCCCATCCCTACCTCTATCTCTATCTCTATCTCTGTCTCTCTATCTCTCTCCCCCTCAACCTTGCCTCTCCCTTCCATTCTCTCTAAGAATCAATAGAAAAAATATCCTTGGGTGAGGATTAACACACACACACACACACAAAAAAAAATGTTATTTGGATTTGACTGGTCTATAATCTTAAACTTTTTCCTTATAAAAGACATATCATCAAGGGCGCACATGTATGTCATCTGAATATAAATTGGCATTGTCTCAAAATTGCATGTGGTAAAATGTTAATGGTAGAATATAGGTAATAGGTACATGGATGTTCACTGCGCAATTCTTTCAATTTTGCTTTCTGTTTGAAAATTTCCATAATAAAATGTCAGGAGGGAGGAAATTCTTCAGAGAAACAATTTCAATAAGTAGCATTTCACTCACATATAAAAAGCAGGTTTACCTACCTGGATAAGTGTCTCGGACTAGGAGTGGGACTTGGTGGTAGCCCACTGCTGCTCGACATTTGTAAGGAAGGTGAAAAACATTGCTAGAAAAACATATTTAATATTAAAATAGTTAGTTCTAATGCTCCAGTTTTCAAAACATTCTTCTCAAAATGACAGAAACAATATCCTTAGAATTATTTAGTTATCTATGTATCTCTCTCATATATGAATGAGAATATATATAAATATATAATAATTTTTTCCCAAATTATTATCACAGATTTTGATTTTTCTTCCAGCCATTAGATTCTCTAAAAGTAAAGCAATTTTTTAAAAAATATATTTTTATTGATTTCAGAGAGGAAGGGAGAGGGAGAGAGAGATAGAAACATCAATAATGAGAGAGAATTATTGATCAGCTGCCTCCTACATGCTCCCTACTGGGGCTTGAGCCCAAAACCCAGGCATGTGCCCTTGACCAGAATCGAACCTGGGACCCTTCAGTCCGCAGGCCAATGCTCTATCCACTGAGCCAAACCGGCTAGGGCTAAAAGTGAAGCAATTTGATATCTATCTCTGTCACATGTCTCTGTGCCTCCCTCTGTTTCTGTTTCCTCCCCCTTATATCTCTGTTCCTCTTGTCTCTATCTTCCTGTCTTTATATATGCCTCTCTCCCCCAGGGCTCTATCTTGCCCTCTGTGCCCGTCTCCCCTTTTCTCTCTCATTATCTCTTCTGCTGTGTTTCCATCCCATCTCTGTCTCTCTCCAAGTCTCCGTCTCCCTCTCTGTGTCTCTATCTCTTGGCCCTCATGTCTCCTCACTGGTCTCCCTGCACACCTGCCCCTACCAGACTGCTCAGGCTCCAGGGCCTAGATGGAAAGACTTTACACCACAGTGCCTGCAAGCACAGGATCATGGCTGCTTCTGGGACTTCTCATCACTCCCGGACCCTGGGCCTGCCTGCCCGGCAGCCGTCAGTTATCTGCCCAGCCTGCTGGGGATTCCCACTCATCCCTATGGGGCTCTAAGCAACCAGGTATTGGAACAAACTCCTCTCTGGTGCAGACACTGTGTTACCACTGAGTGAGGATTTCCTGCCACTGAAGGCTTGGTGGGGCCATCCCCTGCTTTCCTAAGGAACTTGGGCAAGGAGAAACTGAGGCACCTCTGTCTGGTCGCTTCTACTTTCTCCCCAAGGGGGTGTCACTCTTGACATCTGACTGAAAGCCCTCTTGCTGCAGCTTCATCTGCCCTCCGTCTCTGTCACTCAGCTTCTTCCTAGAGCAAAGACTCCAGCTGGACAGAAATTGTTGGGCACACTGCTCCCCAGGGAAGGCACTAAGGAGGTGACCCCTGGGGGATGGGCACTGACCACAGCCATATCCGGGGTGAGGGAGAGGAGGTTGAGGTTCAGGGGAGCCAGGAGAGGTTAGGGGCTGCCACCACCTGGGTCCTGGCAGCAGAAAGAAATAAAAAGTGCGGTGATGTGTGTGTGTGTGTGTGTGTGTGTGTGTGTGTGTGTGTTTTAGAGAGTAAACAGCTCAGTGTGTGAAAGTGTGAAAGAGAGTTAATATCTTGTCCACGAGCCTACCTTTCCAAGTCCTCTGGTGGGTGATGGTGCTGGAGAAACTGGAGTGAAGTCAATCCTTTTAGGAGAATATAATTTCTCTGGCTTGTCAAAATCACTATCACTCTGTAAATATAAAGTGTTATTTCCTTATAATACACAATTCAGCACACCACAGCTCTTCTTTACTACTTAAACATGCCTATATTTTTAGAGTACAAATATACAGACTCTAAAAAGTTGCAATATAACATTCTGGTAGAAAAGCAGAGATCAAAAATGAATATGAGTATATGAAAAAATTAATAAAGCCAATGAACAATACAAAGGCTTCTATAAATTAAAAACACACAAGCAAATGTGAAAACTTTACCAGGCTCAAGCTCTCATCCCATGACTGGCTTATCTGCATTGCCGCTTGTACTTCCCTAAAACAAACAAAAATGAAAGGCCATCAGTGCTCAGAAACAAGATGTGCACAAGGCTGTGTCCTATTCTTGTGAAGCACTAACCTTTCATGGGCAGTTTCTCTGTTCATGATATCCGTGCCTTCCTCCTGCAAAGTCAAACATGTGCTGAAAACATAATATTTACCCACACAGTTCTTTATTTCAAAGAAAAGAAAAAAGACTTTTCTATCTTATTTGACATAATCACAGTACAGCAGAAATAACATTCTAAGACTGTCACTCAAACCACATCTGTATTTTATCTGAACCCGCAGGAGATTTTTAATCTGTCTACAACAAAACAGTCGCAGCCTACTGCATTTTTGATATCTAAATCTTCAAAATGAAAATAAAATCAAACTGTACAATTCATAAAATTGTAGATCTGCACTAGAAAGTAAAATTTACCTTTTTGATTTGATGCAGTCTGCTACTAGAAATCCCATTAGATGAGGATGACAGCAACTGGAAAGAAAAGTAAACATTTACTATTTCCTGAATCACAAAGCAGCAATCTGCTGTCAGTACCAGTGTATGACCTCTTCCTAGATAATTTTTCATATTCTTCTTAGAAATCTAGCTCTTTAAATTACTGAACATTAATGCACTAGAGGCAGTACATTCAGTCTTTAGAAAGTACACCAGGTGTCCAACCTCAAGGCACCATCTGTCGCTAGACAGGCACTGACTTTAACGCTTTTCCCAAATGAATGCAGAGCTGTGTACATTTATATATACAAAAAAGACTCCAGGCCTTGGAAATATCCATTACCCCACTAATCTAAAATAAAGAACTATATAAGAAGGGAAAGAAAAAACTGATTTTATTCATTTTTATTAACACTTTGCCAATGGACAAAGACAGACTAAGAAGCCTAGTACAATATTGTGACTATGATTTAAGTTTATCAAAAACACTTTAAAACTGCAAGATTTTGTTTTCATGACCTAAATCAATTCTAAAATTTGATCACTAATGCTATCACCACAAACCTTAGTAGATAAGAAAAATCAATGTGGAAGGCAAAGTATATTTTTAAAATAACTGCTGCTTTCCCTTGGATCACCACTTTTTAATAATACAAAGATAAAATTATTTTGGGGGGGGGTAAATTATATTCCTTCAAAATAATCACAATCTGATTAAAAAATGTAAGATAAAATTCATATAAACAAACCTTAGGGTTCTAGTAGCCATAATATAAATAACTATTATTTATCCCCTAGTGAAATGCAAATGAAATTATAATACTATAAAAGTAAATAAGACAATTATCCTGTTACAAGGAGCCCTATCCTATTAAAACTTTTTTTGAATATTAATGTAGTGAGGATTATAAAATGATGATAAACTGCTTTAAGCAAAAGGTGATTCAGGTAAATTTTTTTATGTCCAGCCAGCATTGCTCAGTGGTTGAGCATCAACCTATGAACCAGGAGGTCACAGTTTGATTCCCAGTCAGGGCACATGCCTGGGTTCTGGGCTCAATCCCCAGTGTGGGGCATGCTGGAGGCAGCCTACCAATAATTCTCTTTCATCATTGATGTTTATCTCTCTCTCCCCCTTCCTCTCTGAAATCAATTAAAATAAATAAATAAATAAATAAATAAATAAATAAATAAATAAATAAAGTTATCCACTAAAATATGATTTTACCTCAAAATATATCTCATTACCCACCCCTTTCTTTAACTTTTTCCTCTTCTAGGCTTTGTAAAGAAAAAAACTTTACCAGTAAAATTATTTTAAAAAGTACTTTTGCCATTATGAAAGCAATAAATGTTTACTGGTGGACTCTTAATAAGGTCATTTGAAAAACACTAAGCTACTAGGCAAGTAAATGAGACAAGAAAGACTCTAACAGGAGAGCATGAATATGTCCATCAGACAACAAAAGAAACCCCAAAGGCAGTGATATAATCAGGACAGCCAAAATGAGGGTTGCCAAACCTGATTGTGGAGAAAGTCAGAAATTTAGATGCTGAATTTATATGATGTACAACTTGTAAATTTAACACAGAACTGAGAAGTAGACCTGAAAGAGGGGCAGAGGAGCAAAGCCATGTCTAGTCCCAGAAATAAGAGTGAAGTATAAAATGAGAAAAAAGCCAAGAACTTCAAGGAGGTACTGGTTAATGATGTTAAGTCAAGCAAAGAGCTCAAGTGGGATAAGAGGCCCCTGACTTTGGCAATCAAGTGGGCATTGGTGACTTTTGCAAGAACAGATATTTCATGGAGTTGTGGTAGGAATGATGAGATTACAAACTGGCCCAATAGTTAACAAGAAATTAGGAGACAAGGTATTAGAGGCAGTGGAGTGTAGATTAAGCTTTGAAAAAGCTCCCAGAGGAGAAGAAAAAAAAGGGGGAAGGAGAAAATAGATAACAGTTTGTTTTTCAGATATTAGAGGTGTGAGTCAGGAGAAGAAGGTGGAACAAAAGGGCCAGTGACGAAGAGACTGAAGACACAAGACAGAGAGAAGATGACAGACCAAGCAAAGCGACAGGAGAGTCATAAAATATACGAACCATTAAGAGAAAACACTGCATGTGAAGGTAAAGACGTTTTAAGGAGAAGAAAGCTGACATGAATACAAGATAGGTGTCTGCCTTCTCTGTGAAGTGAAAAGCATCATCTGCTGAAAGTGAAAGGTGGTGAGATAGGAAGCTTGTAGTTCTAAAAAAAAAAAAAAGATTTAGAATATTGCTTTGGAAAAAGAGCACCTTGAACCCAACATGCCCAGAAAGAATTTATCTTCTGTTCCTTCAAACGACCAATTCCGCTCATTTTCCCTACTTGTAATAAAGGCAACACTTTCCCCTTGGTCATGGAGAAATAAAACTGCAGTGACTTTTGAGTCCTCCTTCTCCCTACCTTTATATCTAATCAGTTGTTATATCATGAATATCCATCCCGGCTGGTGTGGCTCCGTGGTTGAGCATCGACCCATGAACCAGGGAGGCCACTGTTCGATTCCCAGTCAGGGCACATGCCCAGGTTTTGGGCTCTATCTCCAGTGTAGGGTGTGTAGGAGGCAGCCAGTAAGTGATTCTCTCTCATCACTGATGTTTCTCTCTCTCCTCTCCCTTCCTCTCTCTGAAATCAATAAGACATATAAAAAATTTTTAAATTATGAAGATTCTACTTCTGCCTGTCTCCTTCATCAGTCCCCTTCTTTCCATTTCATTCATCAACACCTTACTTTTTGCAGGCACATAGATAAGTGTATTAAGATTTATAGAGTACATTGTGATATAATGTATATGGTGTGATTAATATTATGATAGAAGTACCCAAAGGATGCTGTGGAAGACTTCCCACACCAGATAGCTAGAAAGGAGAAGGGGATGGGATGAAGGGTAGTGTAAGGATCAACAAAGAGCAGTGAAACAACAAAACCCCTTCAGCAAACTAGGTATTTTAGTGCAGCCAGAGCCTAGAGTGGGTATTTGTCAGAGAACAGTGAGAACTGAGCCTAGATAGAGCTGATAAGAATCTTCATATCTTAGAAAAGAGAAAAGTGAAGTGTAGAGAGGCAAATTCATTTTCCCTTCTTTGCTATGCTATTGATGCAGGAACATTTTTCATATATACAGCAAAAATACGTACTCATATTTTCCAGTATCCTCGGGGAAGGTGGTGAGGAGAATCAAACCTCCAGATAGCTAACATTTTCCCCTTTAAGTATTTTTAGTCACTTCAGCTGGAAATCTTTCCTAAAAGTGTGATATTTTCCCCCTTGTTAAACAGATTATACCATGCAGAATGGCACAGGAAGATCTCTATTCTAATCCCAGCTCTGCCACTTATTAATTGTGTGATTCTGAGCAAGTCACTTATATCGGCTGAGTCTTAGCTGCTGCCTCTTTTAATTGGGAAAAACATTTTCTACCCTGCCTACTTCACTGGGGTTGCTATGAGATTAAATGTGTGAAAGTACTTTGTAACATGTAAAATGTCATACAAGAGTAGGTATTACTATAATTTAAGAAAAGGTGGAAGACCCAGGTATCCTTAAGAACATATTATTTTATGGTTCTATGCCATTAACACTTCAGGATCCATTACCAGGTTCTTAGCTCTTATACTCAGCCATATACTTTTTTTTTTTTTTTAAGAAAACCTCTGTCTGCTTTTTAGTTTTCCCCTCTCTTCCTTTGCTAGCAGCTGTCAGTATACCTTTAACACAAATGTACCTCTTCTGATTTGCTGCTTCTCACACACTACTGGGTTGGAAGCTTATTATAATTGTGCATAAATTTTAGATGATTCAGAGGTCAGAGAGGCTCTCCTATAAATAAACTGATGAACATTTGTGCACAGACTATGGAAATCTAGTTCAGCCGTTTAGAGGTCTGTTTGCTTACATCTCAGATGTCTTCCAGAGCACTGCAGCTACAGCATAAGTGGGCTCCACATGTGAAGTGCTGCTATATAAAAACCTCATCATAATTTTTCCCAACACAACCAACTAATAAGGTGATCCCCAACAGCTCTGCCAATATAGAACAGTCACGATCAGCAACTCTACTGAGAATACAAATACACGCATTTTAAAGGAGTCTTTCTTTGGATAAACAGCATTCACCAACAAAAATAAACACTCTGCCACCATTTTTGTGATTTTTGCATCTTACGACAAATTAAGACCACAGCTCTCAGTTATAATTAGAAGTTAATCCTGACTTACCTCACAATCATGATGCAAGTAGTGGCACAAAACAAAGAGCAATGTTTAAAAATACAAAGTTCCACAGCCAAGAAATATTTCTAACCAGGTCTTCTCTTGTGCACTGAAAGCTGAAATTGGCCACAACATTAAGCAGCAAACAAGATAGGTAAGAAAATTTTTCTTTTGTAAATAATTGTGCATAGCACATAATTTAAAGAAAGAACTACATTTGAAAGTGTTTCCCGCAACCAAAACCACTAAGGATACTTACTTCTATACTCACCAGGCTGTGACTGCTCATACTCGTTGTACTATTCCACCGAGTTCTAAGTGCGTAAGGCTGAAAACCCTGTGAAAGGTCACTAAAAAATAAAAATAAAATTATTAATGTCTTCTTATTTAAGATATCCTTCAACTATATCTGATGCCAACTCTGTAATTAACAATGAAATCTTCAGTGGTTCCTCATATCACACAATGAATAAACTCCTCACCGTCCTCTTCAGAGCTTCCTGAGTGGTGTGCTGGTGATTACAGGTTGGCGGAGATACTGATCTCCTAGGGGGGTTCGGGGGCAGCTAGGAGAGGTATGGGGCGGAGCTCCAGACTGGTTGCCTCCAGCTGCTTCTGCTCAGAACTCACCCCCACCTCAAACCGGTTACCACCAGATTCAAACTAGCAGCCTTATCTGTTTATCCTAGAGGACATACAATCAGTACTGCTTTCTGTGTGCGCCATGACATGACAAGAACTGGGGAGCTGTGTTCTACAATGTGAGCCCAATCAGCAACTCCCGTTATTGCCCTAAACACATGTTCTACTTTTGAACCACACTGTCCAACTAAATAATCACACCTGGCGTTTTGCTCATGTTGCCCCTTCTGAGTCGAATGCCCTCCTTCCCACTACCATCTGTCAAAATCCTTCCTTTCCTTCAACACCCATTTCAAATGCCATGCTCTCCATGAAGCCTATTTATTCCACAAATCTAATGCAATCTTTCCCTCCTTTGAACCCAAAGAGCACAATGGAAAAGTAGATGCTTCCTCAGACACCAACTTTACCTTTTATAAATGAAAACTATGCACGTGTTTTAAATCCTTGGTGGAGGTGTTTTGGTCATCTTTGTACACTATCCTGCAGTGCCCAGCAGAGTGCCATGCCATTGTTAAGAGGTAAAGAAGGATTTTCAGGACTGGGGATATAGATATCACCCAATCCAACTCTCCTACGTTTTAAGTGAGAAAACAGAGATTCAAAAAGGCTAAGTGACTCATTCATAATCATAGCCAGTCAGGGAGAAAATTGGGACTAGGCCTGGTCTCCTCACTCACTCTTCTGTCATTATGCTACCTTTCAAGTAATTACTTAAATCGTGATTCAAAAAACAGTATGTTATTTCTACAGTAGACTAAATTCAGGTCAACAGGATTACTCTGGTCCCTAGCAATTGCTTGCCTACTAGATTTTAAAAGACAACCAAAAAAGACCACTTTATTCCTATAGTAGCAAAAATAAACGTAAAACCGAGGACAGCATTAGAAAAGGGTCACTCTATCATCTGCAGTTTCAAAATTTAATAAAAGAAAAAAGTAAACCCATTTCCCCCCCAAAATGAGGATATTATGATCAGTTTGATAAACATTAATCTTTGCCTTCCCTGCACTTGATTAATGTTTTTGGTTAACTCTACTCCTATCCCCTTTTCTGGACTAATTCCATTTCTACAGGGTCTCAAAAATTGGCTCTCTACCTAAAATGAACTGTCTACTTATGAAAGTAAAATGTAATAGGTTCAAAACCCGTGTTTTCTCTAACCTAGGCTACATGCTATCCCTCCTTTTTATTCACTGGAATGCATTTCAGGCAGTTTTAGAATCTGAAAACATTATGACAAATCTGAATCACTTAATATGACATGAACACATGATTTAATTTCAAGTTATTAGATAAACTGTGATTTATTAAAGTAAACTACTGTTAATACCAGGGTTCCTAAACTAAGCTTAGAAATAGCAGCTCTTAGAGACAGGTGTCAAATTGCAAGTCTGGTTCCAGGGGCTTCAGTCTGACATTCAGTGGTGTAAATTAGGCAGGGCAGGCAACCTGTTAGAAGAGCCAGAAGCTTCTTGTCGTTACTTTTACAGCGAGCTAACAGAGCCTCAGGTAGAGAGGGCCCCGTTGTTCCCACACTGCCCAGAGTTTGGAGTCCCGTTGTTCCCACACTGCCCAGAGTTTGGGGTTAAACTTTCGCTCCACCACAGGACCCCACTGTCAAGCAAACAAATCATGACCCCCTCAGTTTAGAGTGTCCCAAGGAGCTCTAACTCTCACTTTAGGGAAGGAAACTGCTTGCAGGGGCTCCAGGAGCCCCTGAACCCTGTAGTCCACCCTCCCTAACCCTGCTCACCTGAGCCCCTGAATCAGGGGAGCGCTGCTGGATCTCCTCAGGGTGCCCCCATTAGATGTGCCACGCTCAAAGTCCAGCTCCATTTTCTCCTGGGCCATGTCGGAGACTTGCAGCCAGGCACAGCGAACAGTGCTCAGCTCCTGGTGCTTAGCTATGGACTCACGGCAGGACTGAGCTGCTGGGGACTGGCA